AATTATATCCACATTTAATGTGAACAGTATTTCATTATCATTTCCAAGTGTGGAACGAGTTGTGTCTTTTTAATTAACCAGGTTTCTGGGATACACAAATCCTAACAGTTCCCATGTTGCCAAATAAAAGGTTCCTGTGACCTATACTAGAAAAAAGATAGGTGCCCCGAAGAGTAGCAATGAAATCATTTTACTGTGTAGCATTTCTTAAAGGGAAAAGTCAGGTGAAGAGTTAGGTGATTTTTGCACACACAGATCTTATTTCTTGATGACTGCTTAGGCTCACAGAGGGCCTAAGTGACTTTAGGTGGGAGAACCGGATCTGTTTGCTCTGGAGAAGCGAGCACAAGTCCTCCAAGGAGAGGCAGGGAGACAGATGGCTGGCTATTGTGTTACAGGCATCATCTGCTAGGTCATGAGCAAATATTAAGTGAAAAATATACATGTGATTGGTGTGAAAGCACAGCCGCAACATCGCCAGTGCAGGAGGGATGGGAACTTGTGCACGTTTGTGTTCCAAAGAATGCCGTGCGGAGATGTTAGATATACACGGGTTAATTCATTCTAAACTGTGGTAAAGTGAACATTTGTCCCCATCTTTGACACTACTGTGCAATGTTTTGAATTGAAATGGCCAGCAATGGCCCCTTTTTTATTTTCCATAACAACACAAGCACTAAATTATAGCTGTGCAATTATGTAAACAATGGAAACGCTTCCAGAAGGAATCCTTCCTTTTAAATTTTCATTTTGTGTAATTGTTGGAAGGTTTAGAGCTGTAATAAACAAAATTATTTTACACATTTATCATTCTAAAGGTCAATTATAAGAGAACTAAAGAAGCAGCCCCGTGCAGAATGAGTAAGCCAATTTGTGCTGCCGTCACCATATGTTTTCCTTATCACGTATAGTTTTTCCAGTTACTGTGTACACAGCGTTCAATTAAAGCGATTCATTTGAGGGGCTGAATGTAGTTTGTGTTTATAGAACTGCGCTTTGGAGGAGAGGAAACAACACGCCTCTATTTGAATTACCTGATTTTTTTTGCAAGATCAGTGATAAGAGACAGATGTTCTCACCAGTTGCTTTCTCATAAGCCTGAACCTTGTGATAAGCTGCAAAGCCACAATTATCATCTTACGGTCTAGCTTTTGAAAGCACTGAGCATGGAGCTCGCACATGGACCTTTCACTAAAACAGAAAATTGCCAGTGTGTGTCGTGCTTACCATGTGGCAACAGGTCACAGGGTGGTTTCTTTCCAGCAGAAACAGTTTGTCTGCTCTGCCCTCATCGGCGTAAAGAATAAACCTGAGTCCTGTTCCAGACTCCATTTGCCACTCAGCCTGTTGTCGAGTTTAATTTCTCGTTTAGTGTGTTTAGAATGTACAGAAGAAACCGATTCTTACTACCAGACCCTCTTGTTTGAGGCAGGTTATAGAATTCCTCAAAAGAAAAAGCTTAAAGAACGTAAAGATCTTGTTCCCAATTTTGCTTCTTTTTTCCCCCCCCAAGTTATATACATGATCTCTAATTTCTTGTTAAAGAACTTATTTTAGGGGACTGATTGCTGGAGTTTTTTAATTTCTGGGGTAACATGACCAAAGAGACTTGTCTGTGTTATCTCTGAAATGTTTTGATATACCCTTCCTCTATAGGTCATAAACATTCATTCAATAAATTATACCAGCCGAACCTATGAACTAAGTTCTGTGAGGTAAAAATGCTTTCTTATTGAAAACACTGCGAGCAATCCTGTTTACTTCTGTGTGGCCTTTGCCTGCCTCCACAAAGCACCTCTCCATATCCCCACCCCACTGCCCATTGCTGTTCCTGGGTGGCCCACAGTCTGTGACTCACTCAGGCCTGATGGCTCCACTTCTAGGGTTCTTCGTGGGGAGAGTCTGAACACGGGAAAATTTCCCAGCAGCAGTTATAGTGGAGGTATCTTCGAGAGAAGGGGTCACACAGTAAGAAAAGCAGCCCCTTGCCCCAGTACAGTCTATCCTTATGACATTCTCAGGCTAGGTGGGGGTGGCTCAGCCACTGTCGTGGGCCCTGTAGCATTGCAAACCAGTGTTTTTAGAGAACTGTGCGTGTCTCAAACTAAGAGCTTCTGGCATCTAGTGATGTTTGTAGCAAGATATTCAGCACCATTTGCTTGTTAATATTATATTGGTTTTAAGGAGTATATTCTGTTTCTGACAAAGGGTAATCATTTTACAGTATAATTTTAAGTTTCAGAAAGGTCACTTTGAAAACATCTTCTAGGCAAACCATGCTTTAGAGGGAGGCATGAGGGCTGCCCCTTGAGTGATGGGCATATAGTAACTGCCATTCTGTCTTGTTTATATAATAAAAGCCATGTCTGCTGAGAGTAAACAAGCAGAATGTGGAGAATTTTGTTTTGTATTTCCCAAGATTGATCTTAATACCTCAAGGTGAAGGAGTGGAGTGAAAGAATGGTTTTCCTATGAGTTAGAAATGAATGGAGCTCATCGTGGATGGCCCTCGGTTGGGAACATGGATGGCAGATGCTCTCCTGAGTACCATGTGGCTATTCCTAATTTTAAAGTGTTATCTCAAAGATAGACCCTTTGGACTGCTCCATTTCAGTGTAGATAAGCAAAGTAAGCCAGCATGTGGCGGTAATTTGGCTGACTGGTCATATGTCCCCCTCTTTAACCCCCACATTAACCCTGCCCCAGTGTTGTCTTTGGTAACTACAGCAGAGGCACACTTTCCCTACAGGCTCTGGCTTACGTGGGTGGCAAGTAGGGTAGGCTTGCCATCTGTTATTGTCCCTCTCTTTCCCATCTCTTTGCCCATAGAAGCAGCTTCAGTTGAAGTCACTGGCCCAGGTCCAGGGACTGGATGAGCCCTGTGACTTTATCTCAGCTACATGTGTATCTGCCATCTTTAGCCCCAGTGACGATTTTGTAGTTTCTTCTGAATATATTTTTCCCCTTAGGTCTTTATGCATATGTAACAACGAAGCAAGTTTTACAAATTATGGTTTCAGCTTGCTAAAGGATTCAGTTCCCAATTCCCAAAAACCTATTCCAGAAAACCGTCTTTAAACGAAAATTCTAAATTCCAGTGGTGAAAATGGCTCTTTTTAGTTTAGTGTGTGCTAAAGATTTAAAAAGCCCATAGGCTTCAAGGTTATAGCTCCTCATCTCAACAGATGGAATTAACGCAAACATAACAAAGCTAACATCATGACTGTTTGCATTATTAATCTTCAGATGCATGGCATTCTGCTACCTTGCTAGCCAGGTTTGCACGAATCCTTTCATTGCAGCATATGTCAACAGAAATGTGCTTCCATCTGCTGCTGGATAGCTTGATGCCTGATATTCTGAGACAAGGCCCCAGCACAATGCATACCTCTGTGAGTAATTACAGGTGTGTGGTGAGGAGCCCGGGGCATTAATCAGAGGCTTAATTATGAAAAAGGTAGATCTTTTGTTCCACTCCTGGAGCCCAAGTCTACCACACACTTTCTAACCTGCAACATCCATCTGCTCAGTCCAGAGAATGTTTGTCTTGGCTGATAGGAACCCTAAAGTGTATCGCAGGACATGATTAAAGCAGGCTTAAATATTAACTGGGAAAAAACCTTGGTTCTACTTTTTCTTCCATTCCTTCCTTTTTATATCTGTTTCTATCTATCTATCTATCTATCTATCTATCTATCTATCTACCCACCTACCTACCTACCTAATCTTTTATTTGTAAATCATGTTCACTTTTGTATAAGAAAAATCCACTGAAATGCCAAACTTTTAAGTTTTAAGCTAAATTGCTTATCATATGCAAACACTAATATACTAAGGTCATTTGAAGCACAGAAATAGTATTATTTATATAAATTAAATTAATCTACTATAAGAAAAATGTCTTGGGAAAATATTTTGTGAGCACATGCAAGTTGTGTTTAAGAAGACAAGTTAGAAGTGAGGTAAATGTGTTGAAGGGCCTAACATAACTTTGGAAATTAGCATGTTGCTATGCTTTGCTCTGATTTATTAGTTAAGACAGGACTATTTTGAAGGGCTTATTCAGATAGCCCCACTGACGGCTAAGGGTCTTATGTTTTGCTATTTACTTATATATAGACAGTAACTATTGGTTGCCTGATGGCAAGTCAAATAACTAAAGTACTTCAATGTGATGGGTTTGATTTATGTGCCAGCCTAGAATCTGTGTATAAGAAGATTGTAGTTTTCATTCTAATCCCACTTATACATGCACACACTCACACAGATGGCTTTAGAGAGGGCCTGTCCATGATGGTGTGAACACTGCCCTGTGGTGGATCTGATCCGGCACAGGCAGGAGTGAGGGACTGGGGGTTGGGGGCCAGCCAGCCCTCCACAGGAGTCCATTATAGGCGCAGGATGGAGAGCTGGCGGGTAGATGCTCCTGATGCCGAACTCTGGCAAATGGCTGCTGTTGGCTTTGTGTTTGTACCTCCTGCACACATCAGATCTGTGGCAACTCCCTGACCCCGGGGCCTCGTGAATGTAAGAGCATTACCTTAACACTGCCCACACTCCCATTTCTTAGTGCCTAAAACTTCCATTCCTTTGCCTATAAGATTCTCTAATAGTGTGCTTTAGCCTCTGGGGATTGAAGCTAAAGACAGAGCCCAGTTTTTATTTTATGGGTGTTTGTGGGGTTTATTTATATGTCCATCTGAGCAGTCCTGTAGCTTGTTCCAAGGAACCCATTGTCAGGTAGGATACAGGACAGATGTTTAGCGAGCCTCAGTGCCCCAGGATGGTTTTTGGATAAGTCATCTTACAGTTTGTTGTCTCCATTTTCCTTAACAAGATATGTGTACAGGAACCATTGAAGTTATGCACCCTGCACTCTTTCACTTAAAAACCTATCACCTTTCTCTGCTCTCTTATGGTGGTCATGCATGTACACAAAGAAACCACTTTGGAATTTTGTTCTTAAAATTACAGTTGTATTTCCTTATTTTCCTTTTCAGGATGTCTTAAACACTATCATAAGAAACTGTTCACCCCGCTTTTTCTCCCTGGGTTTGCCTGGTTTCTCAATGCTGGTCGGGGACTTTATCACTGCTGCTGCCAGGGTCCTCAGTACAGACATGTTGGCGGTGAGTATGACAATGTTCAGCATCCCAGCTCCTGGGAGACTTCACAATTGCTAACAAGGCTCAGATTTCTCCACTCTAACAGGTGTTGACTCATTAGTGCAATGTGAAACTGGGCTCTCAGAGTAGATACCCTGGCAGCTGATCTGTGAAATTGTAGGATAAGATGACATACTGGTACTGGAAAGGCGTTTCATCAAAAGGCCAAAGTGTGAGAAATCATATCCCCACTAATGTCAGCGCAGTTACACGAAAGCAGGGCCTGTCTTACAGACCCTCATTAGTATTTGCCAGTATATGTCATTATAGAAATAAATGCAGTAAAGAGAGAATTTGACGTGTATGTCCAAAGTAATGTGTTGTTGTTTTGTTAAATTTAGCTTGGTTACTGTGAGTCTCATGGAAAGAAACAGAAGTGTCCCTCCACTTAGATTTAAAGTGTCTTTCCCACTTGTGCTATATGTACAAACTATTAATCTAGTGAGTCACCACCCCTTGAACTCTGTAAAGATGATGGTATTTTGTATTTGCCAGGGATTTACCCGAAGTCAGTATGAGTAGTCGGGATGCCAAATTTTGTCTGATATATGGTTAATCTTTCACTTTCATTGAGGGGTGATTAGGACTTGTAAAACTGATAATTTGTGATCATATTTTTTATGCTCTAATGTCTTGTTATAAGGGAAAATTAAGTAAAGAGAAAGGAAGAGATAAGAACAAAAAGGAATAATGAGAAAAGTAAAAAAGGAGGAAAAAAAATGTAGAATTTCTTTAAAGATGTGACAACTTTTCTCACTTTGTTATTTCTTGATTGGAAGAAATCATCTCCAAAGAACCTTCTTGTTAAGGGTTAACCCTTCAAGTTGGCACTGAAAAAAATTACACGACACAGATAGGAGAATTGTACTTTGTTAGAATTTTATTGCCTGCTAGTTCTTCTTTAGAACATGCTACAGCCCTTTATACGAATGCACAACACATGGTGAGTTCTCTGTCGACATGGATCTTATGCCTAGGTGAGCTATTTAAAGTAACCTTCCAAACATACATTGGTCAATGGGCATTTAAAAAAAATTCAACACCTTTATGTTGAATCAGAAATACAAAATAAAACCACAAGACAATAAATTCCATTGTTAAGAGTTGTCATCACAAAGGAAAATAAGTGTTGTTGAAGATACGGAGCAACGGGAATCCTTGTATACTCTTGGAGGGAATGTAAATGATATAGCCATTGATGAAATTTGAATGACCTTAAAAGATTAATGTAAATGGAGTTTTTCATCGGGACCACCAACTCCCAAACAACAGAGACTCCTTATTAATTAAGAAAGCTCAGCCGATAGCTTAGGGCTATTTTTCGCTAGCTCTTATAACTTAACTCATTTCTGTTCGTCTGTGTGCTGCACCGAGGCTCGTTTACATCATCTATGTACTTTCCATGATGCTTCTTACCCATCTGGCTCTCGATCCTCAGACTCCACCCTTCTTCCCAGCATTCTCACTGCCCTGAAAACCCTGCCTAGCTACTGGGCACTTAGTTTTTTTATTATACCAGTCATAGTGACATATATTCAAATACCATAAAGAAGGATTTCACAGATTAATAAAACCATTAAGTGACTTGATAATTCTACTGAGATATATGGCCAAAGGAAGTAGAATCTGCATTTGGAAAGGCGAGCTGCTTCTCATGCTCACTGCAGCATTATTCCCAGTTAGCAAGTAAGAGTAACCGCTTACAGTGTGTCCATGTGTGGGTGAACAAGTGTGACACATATAGTAGAATATTCTTCATCCTTAAAAACAGAGACACCTTGTCTCTTTGACAGCATGAGAGGTTCCAGAGGCCACTTTGCCTGGGAAATAAGCCAGACATGGTCCTGCATCATCTCTGTGACATGTGAACTCTTAAAAGTCAAATGAACAGAAACAAGGAGTTGTCTGGTGTTTGCTAAGGGCTGGGGAGTAAATAGGGCGATGTGGGTCAGTGTAGAAAGTTTCAGTAAATTTTTTGAAACCTCCTGTACAAAATGATAATCATAGTTAAAAATACTGTAAACTTGAAGTTTATCAAGAGAGTGTTCCTCCATGAGAAAGGACAGCTATCTGAGATGATAGGTGGGTTAATTAAGCTTAATTGTAGCTTTCATTTTATGTGTGTGCTTTTAACTATATACAGACATACATGTTATACCTCTTAAGTCAGTTGTTCTCAACCTTCCTAACCATAAAATTATTCCATTGCTACTTCATAACTGTAATTTTGCTACTGTTATGAATCGTAATGTAAATATCTAGTATGCAAACCCCTGAAAGGGTCACTATCCACAGCTTGAGAACCACTGTCTTAAATATAATTTTATCTGTCATACCTCAGAGATGAAGCTTTCCCAAATGGTGTTTTAAATGGAGAGACTATGAATATAATGGTTGTATGAAGGAGAGAATGACTCTTCGACTTGCTTTTTTGTATAAACGTCAGGTTTAAAGCTGTGCACCTGCTGAGAGGTGCTTGGAGGGAACACACCCGCCCAGCCAGATTTTTTAGGTATCACAGTTAATCAGAAATGTGAGGTTATTCCTGCTTGCCCAGGCAACTAGAGAGAGAGAGTACGTGCACAGGAACACATCACCAAAGAAATCCGTGGACGCTTCCACACAGCAGCGATATTTAGCAGCCAAGGCTAGAACCTATTCGAATATCCATTAGCAACAGAACAAAAACCATGATGTGCACGTACTATGGAGTACTGTATAGCGGTTCACAACAGGGAGCCCTGGGTCTAGATGGCCCTTTGGCTGAGTATGAATCTGTGATTGAAAAGGACAAGAACTTTAGCAAACACTCCAAAGTTAGGTGGCAAGGAAATGGGCAGTTCCAGCAAGCGAGAGCGTCAGTCTCTTTGGAAAGTGTCCCAGAAGCCCTGTGATAAAAGGGCTCATACTGCAAGGGAGCTGTGAGCCGTATCAGATGCCTCTGAGGTCAGATGAGATTGAGACTGGAGGTGACCACTAGGTGTGGACCATGGAGGTCATTAGCCAAACTACTCACCATGCCTGCCTTTAGCAAACCTTAACAGTTCACCACAGTCACTCTGAACTTCATGTTTAAACAAAGCGTGCCTAGTGCCTTTCTCCGTGATGTCATGGCTGCATTCCCAGCTGGCAGCACTCTTCCCCTGTCTCTCTTTGGATGACTACCTCCAACTCCCCTCCATATGGATGGCCTTGCTTTTTACTTGAAAAATAATGTTAAGTCGTTCTCATTTATCCTGCTCTTTCTAGATCACAAACACTGAAATGATTTTAAACAGCCGTGACAGAGCCATTTGCCTTTCTAATTCTAAATGGGTTTGTAGATTGGTTTTCATAACACCTGTTTACATCAAATGTAGAGATGTTTTCCATTCCCTGGAAATTTGCCTTTTCATTTAGACAAACTTCTTGTGCCTAAACATCCACCAGGAAAATAGCCATAAATAGTTTAGCACTTCGTATCTAGAAGGAAAAATAAAGATTCCCTCTCAAAACCAGAACAAAGTAAAACATGTTCTTCAAGCTCCCAGCCTATGTGAAGGAACTTGGTGCTTCCCTCCTTGTGTGCAGGCACCCCGGGCAGAAGCTCTCACTCTCCTCGGCTCCCTCGTCTGCTTCCCAAATACCTACCAGAAGATCCCTCTGCTGCAGTCAGTGTCAGAAGGGAGTGAGGTCGGCACAGGAACGGAAGATGTCAAGGTACATAACCGAATCTTGAGTTTAGCGTCTGCGGCTGGAGTTCCGTCACTGTCTTCCATCCTCTGCACTGATCTCCTTTCCCCTGACAGTTGCTGTGTCTTCTGAAAGCTTCAGCAGTTGTTTTCAGAAGTGAGTTGTGTGAACTGTGAATGGCCACATTCACAGCATGCTGCAGTTAGACCTGATAGCTCTGTTCCTCTGGTCGTTTATTTTTTTTTATTTCTAGGGATCGTAATTATGTAATGAATCATCATTTGTAATAATTCTGTTAGCTTAGTTATACTGCATTAGTGTAGCAAATGAATTTATAAGAAATAATTTCAACAAGCTAAATATTCAATCCCATTGGTGGCCTGATTAAATGCTACTAATAACCTGAAATTCCAAGTTATTTCTTGGGGAATAAAAGTAAGCATTTTTTTTTTCTGTCCTCAGCTGACATTTGGAGCAAACAGAAAGTCCCAGCACCAGTCAGTCAGTCCGTGTAACCCTGATTATAATCTGTAATTCAATGTGCAGTGTGTAATCCAATCAAACTAAAATGGAGATTTTCCTATCTGGAAGTCTCAGATGCTTTGCTTGATTTCCACTGGATCCCTAGAAATGCTGTGCCGCAGGTTGGCTCGGTTACCCAGGGAGGCACTTGCTGCCCAGTTCTCTCTGAAGGAAGGGCTGCCCGAACTCCCTGGCCTTGCGCTAGCTCCAGGGTGCCTGTGACATGGTCAGCACATGCGGGAAACCAACAATGACATCAAATTTTCATTTACTGAATTTTGTGTTTTTAGCATTACCTCATAAATATTTTACTGAAGAATGCTACCGAGGAACCAAATGAATGTGCAAGGTAAATGATGAACAAGAGGTAAACTATGTTAGAATTGTAAGATGCACATTTATGTATAAACAGTTCATGTTTTGAAAAATCCTTTCCATTTCTCTTACACACAGTGAAATGTATAGTAAACATTATGTCAGAAAGATGCTATGCTTAGCTACTTACATTGTCATTATTACTAGAGAAAATAGGAAGTTTCAGAGTAAGATGGAATATGATTTTACATAAGAACATGCAAAATTAGAAATAAATAATGTTTTCAGAAAGAAGCAGGGTTTAAGCAAACAGTTCATAAAGGCTGTATGTTTTGGGCAGAGATTCTGGACTGATTTGTGCCTCAAGAGACATTTGGCAATGTGTAGAAACATTTGTGTGTTTCTGCCAAGCATCTAAGACTGCTACCGTATGTGACTAAGTAGGAGGCTTTCTAGGCCAGCTACGTGGTAAGAAATCCTGCTCCTCTCAAGGTGTAGGTCAAAGCTGGGAATGCTGAGAGAGACTAATATCCATCTCTCACTCAACTTCCAGCCTTGTAGGACCACTTTAGCTTCTGACAGCCTTGTGACAATTAGCACATGTCTTAGCCCTTCGGCACATGAGAAGACAGAGGCCCTAACTTTATTGTCTTGTGAACTCTGGTGATTTATTAACTTTTGTATTTTTCTGAGCTTTACTTATCTTCAGTAGATGGCTTAGTCCAGTTTTTCCTAGTCTGCCATTTTCAGAAGCTATGCGTGCATTACCAGTTTGATAACATTGAACTAAACTTGGGTATGAGATATCCTCATCTTGATTTATAGATTCTGATTCAGGTAATGTCTTGATCAGGAAGTTACATTATATCCAGTTATAGTCCCATCATGCTTTCACCGTGTTTGGATGTCAGGCAAGGGAGTTACAAAACAAGTAACGTATTCTTTCTTCTCCACACTCAGAATACCGTTTGCAGCAGTAGGATTAGTATCCTGTATCAAGAATTTGTCCACTTCATCTTTGATGTTAAATATTTTGTGTATCCTCTGGTTGTAAGGCTAGTCTTGTTAGATGTGTTGCTGTTGCTAGTCTTTTCAAGCAGTAAGGTTTTGTCGTTGCTTACCTCTCTAAAAATACTTGTTTTGATTTTCAGCTTTGGACTCTTTTGTACTCTTCTACTTGTGATGTTCTTCTTTTGTTACTTTTTAAATTTGCATACTTGGTGTATTTTTTTAACTTTTTTCTTTCAACATTTAAGACTATATGCTTATTATTCAGGGCTACCTTTTCCAAAGCTTATAAGTTTTATATGCAGTATTTTTAAATTCCATTTTTTTCTACTTTTCATTATGATTCCTTCATGAGATCAAGAGGGTTTTTTTAATTAATTTCCAAATATGGTTATTTCTATCTTTTGAAATTTTTTAGACCTAATCTATTTTTTAAATTTTGTATAAATTAATGTTTTTCTTAGAACTAGAATTATGAATGGATGCGAGCTGTGTGTGGATGCTGGAAACTGAACCTCCTAGTCCTTTCCAAGAGCAAGTGCTCTTAATCACTGTCCCATTTCTACCCTCGTTTACCTTTTTTTGTCTCAAGTAACTACAATGTAGTTCAAAATATGTGTGTGATGACTGTATTTAGAGTGGTTAATATTGCCTTAGGACCCCATGTATAGTCAGTTTTAGCAGATGTTCCATATATTCTTGAGAAGAATGTACATAGAGGCTGGAGAGATGGCTCAGTGGCTAAGTACTCTTGATGTTCTTCCAGGGGACTCGGGTTGGAATTTCAGCACCTATATCATAGCTCACAATCATCTGTAACTCCAGTCCCAGGGGGTCCATGCCTTTTCCTAGCCCCCTTTGGCAATACAAATATACATGCAGCCAAATACTCATAAGAATAAAATAAAAATGGAAAACACTATACTTAAAAAGAGAAAGAAGAGAATGTCCATACTGTTCTTTAATCGTGAGGTATACTGTTCTAGATGTAGCCTTCCAGTGTTTCACATACTCTGCATTTCTTCTGGAGTTTGTTTTTATTGATTTGATCATTTACTGAAAGGTATGTTAAAAGCTTTCCACCATTGTACTTAACCTGTTTCCTGGAATTTCTGTCAAAGGCTATGATGTTATTAGTTGCATAGGCATTTGGAATTGTCCTATCTCTGTAGTGAGTCAAATGTATTTCTGTTTATATGGCCCTCTTTATTTCTATGAATGCTTTGTTTTATTTTAGATACCCACTTTACCTGCTCCTAATTTCACAATATATAATACTTTTTATCTTTTTTAAATGGCTTTTCTTTACTGTCTTATGATGCCTTTGCAAAAGCTGTATGTATCTGGATTTTATGATTGTATAAATTTGTGTGATCTTTGTCTTTTAATGGAGACTTTATTTTATTACCAGTGATCTTTTGGCTGTGTTTTTCTTCTTATTTAATATTTTATTTTTAATTGAAACTCCTAAGCATTTCTCCTGTTTACTACATTTTTTTCCTGCCTCTTCTTCTATGCCTTTCCCCCTCTCATTTGGCTTTTAATTTTTCTATAGTCAATTTCATTTCCTGGATTTCCACTCAGTTCTCATAAAGGTTATTCTAGAGATTTTACTGTGATTTTTAATAGTCTTGACATTAGTTTGTCTTTACCCACTTCTACACAATGCATGTCCTTTACAACAGAAACTGCTTTCCTCTGCCCAGTGCTGCTTCTCCTGTGCTAATTCCCCTTCTCTGCCTAACTTCTGCATATTAAAGTGACCCAATCTTTCCCCGTTACTGCCTGCCTGTCTCACACATTCTAGTCAGTCTATAACTGCTTGTTGATTATCTCCAATTTATTTACCTGACTTTTTTTTTTTTTAAGACAGGGTTTCTAAATAGCTATGAAGCCAGCCCTGGAACTCACTCTGTAGAAAAGGCTGGCCTTGAACTCACAGATATCCACTTGCTTCTGCCTCCCAAGTACTGGGATTAAAGGCATGTGTCATCACTGCCTGGATTACTTGGCATTTTTAATGAATTTCTTACATAGCCAGGCTTAGATATTGAGCTGCTTACTTGATGCCTCAAGTTAGCTATCTTAACATCTGAATGTAACACAGCCATAACTGAATCTTCCAGTGCCTTCTGACAGCCCCTACCCTATTAAGCATGATGCCCCTCAGATTTCATCTCAAGAAATGAAAATATTTACTAGCTCAAAGTCTTGTGGAATATATTTGATTTTTTTTAAATCTTCTCATACCTCTCAAATAATCTTTGTAATTTGTTTCCCCTAATTTGTTCTATTCATGGAAAGTCACATTTCTCTGAAGAATAACTTATATTAGCAGGATGTTTAGAAGAAATAACAGTGAAAATGTATTTTGAAAGTTACTTTAAAAACAAATACAGTGTCTTATATTTGAAGTATATACTGTACATACACTTTGCAAGGGAATATTCAGTAATCTAAGAACCACGCCTTTTATTCCTCCTCAAAATTATCTTAACAATAAGATGTAATAACAGTTGAGAGTCAACAAAAATGGGTGACATGGATTGTGGCAGTCACTTGTTTGATGAAATATTTAAGTACTAACTAGCATTGATGATTCTGTTTATCCTAAAAACTGGCCCCCTGGAAGTTCTTTATCTTTTCTCTCATGGAAGATGGTCCATTAGTATAATTGTTGCTTCTTTGAATAAATAGATTTATTTTGTCATTTTAAAATACATTGAATTTCATGAGTGTTTTCCTCCCTTTGCTTCTCTTTTGAAAGATGCATTGCCATTTGCTCCCTCGGGGTCTGGATCTGTGAAGAGCTTACACAGTGTGCCAGCCATCCTCAGGTGAAGGATGCCATCAATGTGATAGGTGTGACTTTGAAGGTATTCTCATTTCTTAATGCTTTTTTGACATCAAGCTTTCTTCCAGGATTTTAATGATTTTAACGAGTTTTAATTTTAATTAGTCCATTCTTGTAGCTCCCTACATTATAGAGAGACAGTGGTTTAAAAGTCCCATTCTGAGTCCCATGGTAAATCTTCTGTGAGGCTGCTAGTGACTTGCCTCACTGTGACAGCTGTTCTTAGGTCATTTATAGTTTATTTGTGAACCAAGCCTAGGCCAGTTGGACATCTTAGGGTATAATAAAGTGAGGTTTCAAGCTGTGGCCTCTTTGTCATGACTGAGATAGGAGCCTGCAGCTTCCCCTTAGGAACTTGCATGTTCTCTTGCTGCCTGAACATAAGGCGTTTGGAGCATCTTCCTTCTTTGCTTTGTTATTGAGAGATGTACAGTTTGTTGAGCATCACATAGAACTAGAATATTGGTAATCTCTAGATACTTTTTCAAGTTTCTATGATAGCTCTGCAAGGTGAGCATAATCCCTGTTTTACAGCTGAAAGCACAGGGGGTCCTCATCTCATTCATGTATTCTCAGTATGATGACAACGGCTTTCCACATTTTACCTCTTTGACATCCACCTCACAAAAGGAAGGAAGGAAGGATGGAATAAAGGAAGTGTTCAGGAGACTTGGGACATCAGGCAGTGTCTTAGTTACTTTTTCATTTTTATAAAGAGACACCATGCTGAAGCACCTTATAGAAGAACGAGTTTGTTGGGGCTACAGATGCAGAGGGTCCATGGCCATCATGGCAGGAAGCATTATGGCAGGCAAGCATGGCACTGGAGCAGTTGCTGGGAGCTCACATTTTGACACAGCAGCCATGTGGTAGAGCGAGATCTACCTGGGAATGGCATGGGGTTTTGAAACCTCACCCACAGTGACTTACTTTTCCAACAAGGACATACTTCCTATTCCTTCCCCAATAGTTGCAACTACTGAGGACCAAGTATCTAAACATATAATCCTATGGAGATCGTTCTCTTTTAGACTGCCACATTCCACTCTCTGACTCCCATACATGTGTGGTAAATCATAATGCAAACTGCATTCAGTCCAACTTCAAAAGCCCCCATAGTCTTTCACAGTTTAAAAGGCTAGAGTTCAAAGTCTCTTCTGAGACTCAAGTCAATCTCTTAACTGTAACCCTTATAAATTATAAAAGCAAATGTAATATTTCCAACATACAATAGCACAAAATATATATTTATTATTCCAAATGGGGGAAATCAGGGCATAGTGAGGAAATAATGGAATACTGAAACCCTGCTGAGCAAACTTCAAATCCTGTAGCTCTGTGTCTGCTGTCAAGGTATTAGATGGCTCTACCTTTCCAGTTTTACTGACTGAAGCATGTATTAGCCTGTAAGGGTCATTTTCCTTCAGGCCACCACAGACAACTTTGGGAAACACACCCAGAGTCACTGAACATTCCCTAGTCCATGGGTTATAGCCTTTGAGTCTGCTTTTACACATTTCTTAGTATGTTATATCTATATTATTTTATTTCCTCAGGTAGGAAGTCATTTGAATGATCCCTGTTTCTCTGTGTGTGAAATGAAGATAGCTTCTTCCTTACTGGGCTGTCAATGGCAACTTGTCAATGACAAAATGAGTTACATTTGTGCAGAAGGTTCAGCACACAGAGGACACTCAACCATATACTCTATTTTAATTTCCTCAAGTTGTCAATAGTATGATTTCTATTAGCTGAATACAGAATTTTAAACTTTGCCTTTTATTTTCTAGGCAAACAATGACCACCTTTTTCTACAGGTATATAAATAACGTAGGTGATTCCAAACAACCAGCAATGTAGCATGATGGAGTGGTCATGTGAAAATGATGTTAATTGGACATAGTTGTCATCAGTTGCACATGAGATATGCGTGTAGAGTTGAGAAGAGCAAACAGCCCTGTTCTTCCTCCAGCACATACACCCGCTGAGCTGCCCTGTTTACTTGGTTTTTTTCTTTTCTTTTCTTTTTTTTTTTTTTTTTTTTTTTTTTTTTTTTTTTTTTTTTTTTTTTTTTTTTGTAGTTTCCTAACAAGATCGTGGCTCAGGTAGCCTGTGATGTTCTTCAGCTGCTGGTTTCCTACTGGGAAAAGCTTCAGATGTTTGAAACTGCTCTACCGCGAAAAATGGCCGAAGTAAGTCCTTTATCTATAAAGCTAAAGCATCCGCATTTCCTTTTTAATAATGTATTTGATATCTAATTAACTGTATATCCTCCAATAATTGTTAGAGAAGCAACTATTAAACTGCCATGTGAGCCCCGTTTTTAGGCAGTGTTGGCTGGCTCTTCTCAGCTGCAATTTTAATCACTGTGCAAAGAAGCCTGCAGTGTTCCAGGGCCGAGGCTGATGCTTGGAGAGTTTGAAAGGCAGACACAACCACAACAAAGAGACCTTTTGTAGGTTGGGCTTTATTCATTGAAAGTAATTTGGATGGTGCCAACAAGGAGTAGGCAGCTGGTTTAATGCCTTCCTTGCAGGGCGGGGGCCTGGCTGTTGTGTAAAGCAAGAGTTGTTCCCAGACTAAAGCCCTGGGCCACTCTTTCTGCTGTGGCATGGTTACTCGACTGTAATGAGATCAGTGTAGTATTAACCTCTGAGGGGGAGGTGGCCAGGAGAGGAGGCAGGAGGAACAGGAAGTACTCAACCACAGCTTCTTGAAGGTTGGCTACAGCCAAGGGGTCTTTCCTAAGGGCCTAGCAGGGCCTAGCTCACAGGTGCCTGTGATAAGGCAGTTTTTATAACTGTAGTTATTCAAGCAAGCCCTGTTTTTTTACCCATCCAGTGGAGACTGAGGAAATTTGATTTGTCCCCCTGACAGTTGGCAGGGAGAGAGAATAGGTGATGCAGATTCATTTTCTCCCAGCCCTAGACAGACTTCTTTGGTGGAGATCACTTTGTTCTCTCAGAATCACATCAAATCACAAGTGGCTTTGTGACCTGAAGTGACCTGGAATGAAATAGACCTTTTACCCCGCTGCAGAATTATAAAGCTGGGTTTAGTGTCACCACGTAATTCTCCAAACAGGACACCTGTGAGGATGAGTGGCGTAACTGTGATTTGGAAACAGGAGGTGGATACCTATGTTGCGGCAAATGGGAACCTTTTCATAATTATTACTTGAAAACGTTTTTTTTTTTTTTCCACTTCACTGGAAATGCGGCACTGATAGTAGATACTGTGTGACTATAGAGCAAGCTAACCCTTGCTGTGAGTCTCCCACCAAAGAAGTAGACGTCATTACATGATCGTTATTTTCAAATCTCCTATAACTGGCTTTCATCTTTCTATTGTTATCCAGTGAGTAGGTACCATGATGTATTTAGTACAATGTAAGGATTTGCCACTCGTATTAGTTCAATAAAAATGCTGATTGACCAGTAGCCAGGCAGAAAGTGTAGGCAGGGTGGCCAGACTAAGAGAATTCTGGGAAGAGGAAAGACAGTCAGTCACCACCAGACGCAGAGGAAGCAAGATGAGAATGCCTTACTGAGAAAAGGTACCCAACCACATGGCTAAACATAGACAAGAATTATGGGTTAATTGTCAGAGCTAGTTAACAGTAAGCCTGAGGTCAAGCAGTTTATGATTAATGTAAGCCTCTGTGTATTTCTTTGGGACTGAATGACTGCGGGGCCTGGCAGGACAGAAACTTCTGTCTACAGCAAGGTCATCTTGGGATTCTTAACACATGGCTTCCAGACTATCATGGTCTGCTTAATTGGGTTTTATCTTTTATACAGATCCTCGTGGCCACAATTGCGTTTCTTTTACCAAGTGCTGAGTACTCCTCAGTGGAAACAGATAAAAAGGTAAGTGACATGTTGGGTAGCTTTCTCCACAGTTATTTTTAATTATAAGACAGAATGATAACTAATATTACAAATGATGGTGTCATTTACTATATTATATGTTGGCTTTTACGTTTTTTCCTATGAAAGCCATTTTTGTTTACTTACTTACCCTGCATTTGTGTGTCCATTGAATATTGAGCAGGGACAATTTTGTTTATTTTTACATGCCATGGGTCCTAAGGGCCATAAAGTAAGATTCTGGATATGTTTCTCCTTCTAGTTTATTGTGTCCTTGCTCCTCTGCCTCTTGGACTGGTGCATGGCTCTGCCTGTGAATGCCCTTCTCCACCCTGTATCCACGGCGGTCCTGGAGGAGCTGCACCCACCCCGGGCTCCCTTACTGGATTATATTTACAGGGTGAGTCTTCTCTAAGCCCTGGGCACATACAGTGAACCTACAGATTAAAAATTACCAAAACGTTATCATTTATGTATTTGTACCTTCTGAAAAGGACCTGTGGAAGGTTAAGTATTTGAAAAGAAATGAATAATTAATGAATAAACAGAATAGATACAGTTGTAGGAATCCAGTAGTTGCCAAGGTGGCAGAGCATACATTTCACATGACCGTCATCTTTAAACAACTGCGGTTTGATCGGAATGCTCCCAGTCTTCATGGCACATGATTTCTGCCTACTTCGTTTCAAAATGGATTGTTTATATTAAAGGAGGGTCTGCAGCCTCTAAAGATCTGCTTATCAGAGTAAGGGAGAAAACATAATGCTTCTTGTAATCTCTTTGCCTTAAAGAGGCAGGTGTGGTGTTGCATACTTGTAATCCCAGCAGTTGGGAGCACGGGGTCAAAAGGATTGCCTTGAGTTCAAGGCAGCCTAAGCTACATAATGAAACCCTGCCTCAAAATCAGGACCAAAACAAAACTGAAAGAACACAAAGGGGGAAAAAAATCCTTAGGATAGGAGTTAAGAAATCTCACTTTGTGAGAAGCGAGAGACTTTAAAATCTGTATTCAATTTTCTTTTATTTATTATGCTTTCAAAATTGTATTAAATTACCCCCATATAATTCATGGGTTCATGTGTTGTACTGATTTAAACTCAGGTTGTGGTCACCTTGCCCTCTACCATGAGGGCCTTCCCACAGCTGTCTTTCATCTCTGGGGCCGATTCCTTCCACCTATGTTGCCTTTGGAGGATGATAGGCTGAGGTGTGTGCAATCATACAGGAACAGAACCTTTTCACTTGTGTTTTCCCTTTGCCCTGAGGTTGTAGGTATTGTTACTGACTTGCTTGTAGCAAAAAATATTTGATAATGGAAAAAAAAAAAAAACATATTCTGGCATGTTCCTAAGTGGGAGTCCTCTCTCTCAAGCACTGTGGGGACTGGATAGTTTGTTTATCAGGGGTCAGGAGGTGGTGGCATACTGAGTTCCATTCCTGTCTGCCCTCAGGTTCTGCACTGCTGTGTCTGTGGCTCAAGCACATACACACAGCAAAGTCACTACACTCTGACCTTGGCTGACTTGTCATCCACGGATTATGACCCCTTCCTGCCTCTGGCAAATGTGAGAAACTCTGAGCCAGTCCAGTACCACTCATCAGCCGACCTGGGGAACCTGCTCACTGTGGAAGATGGTGCGTATGTCTACAAGTATACAATCTTATGTGCGTAAGAGATAAGATTATAGTTTGGTCTGTGCTTGTGTTTTGGGTTATTTTTTTTTTAAATCTGCTTGTTGAAGTCCCAGCTTATGGGGTCTCTGATGGCAAACCTTCCCAGTTTCTTCTTTTTTCCTGTTGTTTTTTCCCCCTGACTTTTTCATCCATCCTTATTTAAGTGGTTTTGTATTTCTGAAAACTCTTGTCTCATACCTATGGAATGCAAAAAAACAAAACAAAACAAAACAAAACAGGCTCTTTTTCTATCCCCAAGAAGTTTTACATCTGGTGGAGGAGACAGTATGATACTGGGCTAGTAGCATCCTTAGGACTGCTCATAGGGAAGAATTAAGCTAGACAGAGCAGGGAGGACAGGCTTGGAAGGAGCTCATAGAGTATTTCAGAGCAGAAGTCCCTCATGAAGAAAGCTGAGAGCTTTCTTACCCCACTTGGGATGTGTTTCTGTGGCAGACAAGTCTGTGCTCAGATTGATCAGTGTTAATAACTACTTAAAATAGAAGGAAGCGGGGCGTCAGGAGGTGAGAGATAAAGCTTTGTGTTTCCTCTAGAAATTTAGCGGCAAGAAGATACTTGGGATCCTTCCCTTTTAATAGTTAGTGGAAGCCCTGAGCTGACTTTGTCACTAGTTGAATCCCGATCATCTTTAGTTCTTAGTGGAAAAAAAAAAAGTGAACTTAGCTGAAATGTGGCAGGAGGAGAGGCCAGTGGTCCACAGATGCTCCTTTTCCTGACCTCAGCATCAGACCCATTTGGGGTTTTATTCCAAGTGTCATCATGCCATAGTTTGATACAGCTTGAAGACATTCTCCCATTGTAGAATTCAAAATCTTCACAAAATACAAACCAAAAGCACAGCCTCTGTGAGCAAAAGCAGAGGGAAGTTGGTTTTCCAACTGATGTTTTCTGCTTGGCCTTTGTCATCTTGTACCTTTATCGTTCGTTTTATGCCTGTCGCTGTCATGACAACGGCGTGTTTCACATTATGAACTGTGAACTCCCAGCTGGTTTCATGTGGGTCTCTGGGGCAGTAACATTTCATAGCTGGAACATTAAATTTCTTTGTAGTGTAGAACTCATATATATTTCTCTCAGGTTGTGGGAAAAAAATTTAAGTTTAGGAAAAGACATAAATGACCACTTGTGTGACACTTTATTTTCCACTATTCAGTATAGATTTCATGTACATAGAAAAAAATTGATAAGAAATCCAAAAAAATCAAGGTGATCTTGTTCTCGCTCATTGCTCAGAATTTCCCAAATTTCTGAGATTTCTTTCTTTCTAGGGTTTTTATATAGAATAAAACAATATGTTATATATAAACTGGTTGGGTAATGTCTAACACTAAAGGTATTATGTATCTCTATATATAGTTGTATATTTATTATAAAGTTATATGTTTACGTTGATTTATGTGCTAATATTTGATTGTTTACATTGTGATTTTAGAAGCCTAATACTCTTTGCTCAAATTATAAACCTTAATTTAAATATTTAGACCTTTTCCATAAAATTTTAAAACTTTCATTTTCACTTGTTATCAAATTGATGCATTTGGCACATTGAAATTTCCTCAACTACCCTCAGCCTGAAGCACTCATTTCCCTTTCTAGTTAAAGCCTTAGCGTGTCTGCCTTTCCACTCCACCTCCTTCTGTAAAGCGCTGCTGCTCAGGCTGTGCTCAGAGTTTCACATACTGTTGAAGTTTTATAAATCAGTTGCTCATGGATACTAAATCTTCAAATACAAATTTAGTTAAGTTCTCCTAAGTGCCTCCATGATTTATGAATATGACAAATTCTCTTAAATATTTTAAGTGCCCTAATAACAAAACATAAATTGTCACAATGATTATTAAACAAATTTCTTCCAATCTTTAAACATGGCCCCGAGGTTTATTAATGTCCTTCTTAGGTCTTCCTTCACCCAACAGAGGGGTGCCGCAGTAGCCTCCCCAGCCAACTCTCTGGTCCCAACTGCCCCTCCAACCTGGTTTTTACCCTCATCTCAGCCCCTGAACCTTTAACTGTCTAACATGGGGATGCTTCTCTTCTGCTCATTCCTTTATCTGCAGACTTTTTAAAGTCCCTTTCAGAGTGACAGCTTCATGTAAGTTGGTCCTTTAGCAGTCTGTTTCAGTTATCTTCTTAATTTAATAATTTAAGTAGAATTAGTGTCAAAATAAAAAAAAAAACAGTCTTACAGCTAAAAATCGAACATTCAGCTGGATGTAATGTTTAATCATTTTTAATCCCAGCAGAGGCAAGTGGTTCTCTATGAGTTCCAGGCCAGCCAGTGCTACACAGTGACACTCTTTCTCCCAAAACAAAACAAAAAATCAGAATCTAACATTGAAACTATTGACAGACATCTCATGGTGGCCCCACCTGCTCACATTTTCTTCCTGCTGTTCTCAGAGAAGAAGAGAAGAAGTGTGGAATTGATCCCCCTTACTGCACGAATGGTGATGGCCCACCTAGTGAACCACCTAGGCCACTATCCACTGAGCGGGGGCCCTGCCATGCTGCACAGCCTGGTCAGTGAGAACCATGACAATGCCCACGTGGAAGGTGCTGAGCTATCCTCGGAGGTGTTCAGGAGCCCAAACCTGCAGCTCTTCGTATTTAATGATAGCACCCTTATCTCCTACCTTCAGACACCTGCAGAAGGACCAGATGGAGGGACTTCAGGGGCTTCCCTTTCAGATGTCAGAGTCATTGTGAGGGATATCTCAGGCAAGTACTCTTGGGATGGCAAGGTTTTATATGGACCTCTGGAAGGCTGCTTGGCACCCAGTGGAAGGAATCCCTCATTTCCAGTTTCTGGCTGGCATCAACACACGTGCGGACCTCAGAAAGATTTGTCTCACAGTGAGGAGGGAGATGACGCGCTTGATAAATTACTTGAAAACATTGGCCATACAAGCCCTGAATGCCTTTTACCATCACAACTCAATCTAAATGAGCCTTCCCCACCCCCATGTGGGATGAACTGCGACCAGGAGAAGGAAATCATTGAGGTCATCCTGCGCCAGAGCGTACAGGAAGATGAGTATGTTCAGAGGTGTAACTCTAATTCTGCAGTGAAGGTCACCAGCCAAAGGCAGCCCTCCCCAGTGGAGCCGCGAGGACCCTTTTATTTCTGCAGGTTGTTGCTTGATGACCTGGGAATGAATTCCTGGGACAGAAGGTAACAGTGCTCTGAATGTTCTATCATTATTGCTATGTGAGGGTTCTTCTTTATATCAGTTTGAAGTTAAAAAATAAGAAATAGAAGGGTTTTTTTTTTTATCAGATTTCAATATTTACAGATTATTTTTAGCTACTGGATTAGAGCTAAAAACAAAACTGAATGTACTATACTGGTATACAGATTGAGTTCCAAAATACCTGCAATCCTTTGAAAGCACATGAAGCATTGCTTTGCTTCCTGTGACCCTGACCACTACTATTTCCATTTTCATACAAGATACAAATGGACTGCAAAGGTGAGTGAGCCACTGCCTAGCCACAGGATTGATGAGGATGTGAACTGGATGCACCTCAGACAAAGGACAGAGTGGCACAGGAGGCCAAGAGGAGCAATTTGATCCAATGGGCAGTGTGGACAGTGCTGGAGACCTCAGAGAAGAGAATGGGGTTGAGATGAACCTGATAGTGAAGTGGAGTTTTGAAGATAGGATAGGGAAGAGATTCCCAGAGCTGACATTGAGAATAGACACAAGCACACGCACACAAGGGACATCCTGCTGACTGAAGAGCTTTCCAGTGTCACTAAAAGGCAATGGGTTCTAGTGGGATTGTTATGTCTCTCCATACTCGAGGATATTGGAGCTCATTTTGAAGACTTGTGAATTAGTTGCTTTTCTTTTGCTGTGATAAAGCACTATGAGCAAGACATCTTATAAAAGAAAGAGTTTATTTTGGGCATATGGTTCCAGATGCTTAGGGTCCATAATGGCAGGAACAGCAGGTGGCAGACATGACAGCTGGACAACAGCTGAGAACGCATATCTAATTGATAACTGGAAATGTCACTTGACTTTTGAAATCTCAATATCTGCTCCCAGTGGCATACTTTCTCCAGCAAGGCCACATCTCTTAAACTTACCTAAACAAGCCCACCATCTGGGAAACCCATTTCAAATGTCCCAGATGTGGTGGACGTCTCATTCAAACTATGTTATCTACCATAGTTTTTCAGTGAATGAGATATTAGATGGATGGATGATGGCCGTCTTAGTTACGATTACTATTCTGTGAAGAGAGACCATGGCCATGGCAACTCTTATAAAGGAAAGCATTTAATTCGAGCTGGCTTACAGGTTCAGAGGTTTTAGTCCATTGTTGTCATAATGGGAAGCATGATGGCACACAGGTAGACATGGTGCTGGAGAGGTAGCTGAGAGTCCTACATCTAAATCCTCAGGCAGCAGGAAGTGAGAGACAGTGGGCCTGGCTTGAGCTTCTAAACTTCAAAGCCCACCCCCAGTTTTGCTTCAATAAGCCCACACCTACCCCAACAAGGACACACCTCTTCATAGTGCCATTCCCTATGAGCCTATGGGGGCCATTCCTATTCAAATTACCATAATGGCTATGTTTGTTATTGGGTTAGAAAGTAGCGAAGCTGGTCTATGGTCACATGGATCTCTTCTTCCATCCTTTTTTTTTTTTTTCTTTGTAGAAAGAATTTTCATTTGTTGAAGAAAAATTCAAAATTATTGCGAGAGCTAAAGAATCTGGACTCACGTCAGTGGTATGTGAAAGTATACTAAAATATCTTTCCCTGTCTGTCTTTGTGAGCTCATAGTATCAAATACAGTTTCAGGGAAGAAGGTACCTACAGAGACACCCAGAATATTTCTTTAGCCCAGAATCTGCTGATGTTGACTTGACTGAACATTGGCATTTTAATTTGTTTTGTTTTGTTTTTGAGACAGTGACTCTTTTAAGTTTCCCAGGCTGGTCTTCAACATACTCTGGTAGCCCAGGTAGATCTTGAACATGTAATCCTCCTGCCTCAGCCTCCAAGTACCTGAGATAGTAGGCTTTCTTTAATATAAAAACAAAAACCTCCCATATCTTGTTCTCTTTTAACTTTATGACCTCTTTTTCATTCATTGTTCCTGGTGTGTGTGTGTTTTGTGTGTGTGTGTGTGTGTGTGTGTGTATGTGTTCTCAGATCAAGTTCTTCTCATGGTATTCACTACATTTTTCTTTCGTGTGTGTGTATATACATGCATGCATGTATCCTACTGAGTCTTCTTGTTGTTGTTTATATGTATTTGTGTTTAAAGGCGACCATTTTGAAGTGATTTCTACAGTGGCTGTACTGTATATTCCCACCAACAATAAATAAATCACCCTCAACCCTGACATCTTACCCTGCATTTATTTTCTTGATGATAGCCATTGTGACCAAGGTGAGGTAGAATCATAAGGCAGTTTTAATTGACATTTCTGCGTCTAACGATACTTAACTTATTTAGAGGCCAATTGGATTTCTTCTTTTAAGAACTACCCTGTTCATTAAGCTATTTGTTGATTTTGGACTTGATGTTTAATTTAATAGTTCTTTACATATTTTTTTTTTTAGACCCTGTATGTTTTTTTCTCATTCTGTAGCTCTCTCTTTAGGGTGATGATTTATTTTTCCCCTCACTGTGCAAAAACTTTTGATTTTGTATAATAAAATTACATAATATTTTGTATAATAGTTCTTAGAATTATTTCCTCTGCTATTAGAAAATCCCTGTCTATTCTTTTGTCTTGAACTATTGGCAACTTCAATCTAAAATGTAGTCTTTAGTCCATCCTGAATTAATTTTTTTATAGGGTGAGAGATGGGGATCTAATTTCATTTTTCTACATATTAAATAGACTGGTTTTTTTTCTCCCTTGTGTGTGTTTGGCATCATTGTCAAAAATTAAATGGTTGCAACTAAATGGGTTTATTTATCCATCAACCTGCATGTTTTTGTGTCAGTGCCATGCTGTTTTCTAAGCATGAATTTCACCATCATTTGTGTTCAAGTGGATTTCTTGTGGTTTTATTGTTTATTCGTAAGTAAATGCTTGACTTGTGTCACTATTATTTGCATATCAGGTTTATAATTGTGATATTTTGTTGGTGGTTTGAATTCTTGAACCTAGGTATGACAACAGCAACTAGTAAACTCCACCTGAAACTGGAAAAGCATATGTTTGCATGCACATGCGTGCATGCGCACATACACAAACACACACACACACTTACCTTTAAGAGGACTTAGTGAAGAAATATCTTTGTCACAACACAAATGACGCAATCTAGGGGTCTTGATTGGTTCATTTTCTCTGTTAGTTAAAGAATTAAAAAACAGGAAAAATCTGAAGCACAACAGGGGTTAGCAGAGAAATCTCAAGCACTGTAGACAAAAATCAGCAGTTGAAGAAAACCGTTCATTGGAGGTAAGGAAACACACATGTGCACCAAACACACAGAGAATGCACAGAGAAAAAGACCCTGCAAAATAGAGGGTGCACATGGAAGCTGAAAACCCAGTATCTTCTTGAGGTCTTGGGGTTTTAAAGCCTCGAGTTTTCTTCCCTACTTTAGGGTTGGGAATTTGCAGGTAGACAGGATGGTTGATTGGTCCACAACTGTTGTGTGGCATGTCCTGATCCAACCTTGAACTTGTTGAGCCAGCCCATCAGTAATGGGCCTGATGGGAGGCAGCTGCCAGGCTTTTGTCTCAAGTTAGGAGGTTGAGGAAGAAGCTGACCATCTTAGACATGCATTATCTTTGTTAACTTGCTTCTCTCTCTGCCTACCAAGTGTGTCTTCCTCCTGGTCTCTCTCCAAGGACTCAGCAGATAGAATCATAGTAAGCTTACTTATAGCTATATATCTTTTCGCTCCTTCAGAAGCATTTAGAATAAGATACATTAATTTATATGGGCCGTTGTGCAGGAATCATAAGGCTACAGTTTTTTTTTTCTACTCTCTCATATATCTTTTTTGTCACTCATGGCTTCTTACAGCCATACAATGTTGAAGTGTGTACTTTTATGTTTTCTGAGTATTGGGAATGTGCCCGGGTGGCTGTAGTGAGCCTGACTCCACCTGCAGAAGCTGATGTGAGGTGCTTACCTCCTGGTAACACCAGTGCTTTGCTAGTGGTAAGCATTTTAGTATCGAGAAAAAAAATCCAAGGAAAAGAAAATATGCAAGTTTAAATGACTCATTTGTGGTTGTAATTGAAGAAAGAATTACATCCTTGGGGCAGATCCTGCGACTCCATTGGTAGTTTAAATGTTTTCATTTCTTGATTCAAGGAAAACTTAATTTGAATTTCAAAAATGTTTAAAAGTGCTTTAGACCCTGCCATTTCTCTGTTCAGTCTTTCTCTCCTTGCTTTCTCCAGGACAGAGACTGGGCCCTCTGGAAATTCCATGTGGGATTTCTGCAGGGCTCGGGCACTTGTTTCACTCACTCTCATCTTTCGATGTTAAACAAACAGTCATTTGGACCGCGAGCCCAGCTTTCCAGCATATGCTGAATTATTCCCTGCTTCTCCAGTGCTAAGCGAATGCACTGCTATCTTGTAATTGTAGCCAATTTGTTGAATGTTAATGCACTCTAGTTGCATGAGGTGCAGTTGAATTAGCTCCCTGGGGTGCTGTTGCAGTAAAATATGGCTTTGGGTAGCTGATTGGCAGTCTTCTGCCCTTTGATTAACCTTCACTTAAAACCCTAACTCTTGGACTTAGGTTGTCTTAGCCTCTAAATGCACATCAGTTCATTTTATGGGAAAGGGCATTTTTCAAAATTGCCTTTTAAAAACCTGAACTAAGTCTGGCGGCTCTTTACCTATGAGAAATCTAGCCTGTGCTATAGATTGGTCTGATGCTAAGCAAACATTGTCCTTCAACTTTCAGGACCTTTCTATTTACTCTCAGTATCAATTTATAGCACTGTTGTGCGGGAACAGTGCGTTCTTCGCATGTTTTGAGAAAAAAAATAGTCTTGCAGCTAGGTTCTTTATACTGTGTGTGATGGCTGGACATACAAAATCACTGTGGTCTTTCTTGCCACTGTGTAGTGAAGGAAATGGTAAAGACATGTTTTCCTTTGTTTGCTTTTTAAAACCTGACAGCACAAGAAAATGGAACTATTCTGGTCTGTTCCTAATAAGAAAAAAAAATTCATTCTACTGAGGAAAGCGTGTTGTTGATTTTATGTATGTGTGTTCCTGAATTACCTGCTCCTTCATGTACTGGCTGTGCAGCTTGTAGATATGAAGTGCTGTTGATGTTGTAATTACTATTTCAAAAGCCTGGCACTAATAAGGCCAGACACAGTGTATGCATCTTAGCAGACTCTCTGCAGTGCTAATATTTTGGAGGATGTGAAATTTGATGAATGTTTACAAGTAAAGGTCACCTTTCCTCACACCCACATCAGTCAGTCCTTCATTTGAGCTTAGCCCTCTGTGCTCCTACACTGAGTAAATGAGCACTCAAGGACCCAGGATGGAAAAATCCTGGGCTTTAAGGATAAAACACTGATGTATTTCAGATAAGCCTGAGGTTGTTTTTTTTTTTTTTGTATGGCAAGTCTATAGAACAGAGAAAATTTGAATGCTAAGGACGTTTACGTATGTAGAGAGAGGGTTTCAGGAAGAAATCAAGTGACCGTGCTTTTGTTCTTTCTGAAACAGCCTTTTAGATAAAGGTTAGGATGTCTGCTACCATCATCTAAGCTGCCAGATTATTACAGCTCCTGTGATTAGCCAATCTTTCTGCTCTTTCTGTATTTTCTGATTCTTCTTCACATATATTTATTCCATGAGAGTGATGGGGGGATGACTATCTAGCGAATGAATAGGAGAAAATGTTCCTCCTCCTGTAATTTATGTAACTTTTTAGTTGAGCTTCAATTAGCCTTGTTTAATAAGAAGAAAAATAACCATGAAGAAGGAAATATTTGAGAATTTGTTAAAATATGGAGTCCAGATCTACCAATTTGAATGTCTAATCATATTACAGTGTTGAGATATTAAGCAATTAGACAATAGAAACATTTCCGTATTGTTGAAGCACTTGATGCTTTTTCCTATGCAGTTTTTCATGATGTAATGCAAATGTGAGAAGGGTGGGGCTGCCCAGAAGTGGAGATGTACTTCTTTACCCTTGAAGCTATGATAGAATAAAGCTCATGGACAAAGGTGCTGTCCAGTGAGTGGTTCTTTATTAAGCTTCCTTCATCTGTACAACAGCTGAGCTTTTATCTCCAAACCATCACCAAATTGCTTGATAGAGCATCAGTTATTTTGATACTTTACCATATCATTTGTAGAAACTGGCAATTACATATTCAGATACACTGCCTAATATCTGGTCAGTTTAACAGAGGAGACTTAGCTGAGCCTGTACTATGCGTCAAATACTATACTGGATGTGAGGGAAAAAAAGAAAGATGAACAAACAGGTCTCCTTTCTTCAAAGTGCATATTATGTTTATATGATTTAACAGGAAACTGCCACCAGTCTATCATGGAGCAAGCAAAAGAAGAGATTATATCCCCCAAACAATCTTCCCAGAAGAACTTTCCAGTACATTCGGTGCCCTCAGAATAGAACACATCCTTTCACAAAGAAAATACCCAAATAATATTGCCATTCTCATAAAGTCTTAGCATATCTCATTGCTCCTGTCTTGAAACTACCCATATCCTTTCGTCGAAGTAGAGCAAATGAAATGTAGGTAGATAGCTAGTTATGATACGTGTCTACTGGAAATGCTTTAGAACAGTGGTTCTCAACCTTTCTAATGCTGTGATTCTTTAATACAGTTTCTTATGTTGTGGTGACCCCCCCAACCGTAAAACTATTTTGTTGCTACTTCATAACTGTAATTTTGCTACTGTTATGAATCGGACTGTAAATATCTAATATGCAGGATATCTGATATGCAACACCTGTGAAAGGGTCATTTGATCCCAGAGGGATCATGACCCACAGGTTGAGATCCATTGCTTTAGAAGATACTGTTCTTTACCAACATGGGAAGAACCTGGTGGATGATGAGCTCTGATATCTGCTGTTTTTGTGTCTCTGTGTCTGAGTTGTGGTCTCCTGCCTCATTAACCTTTGTCTCCTTTCAACCACCTCTGCAAATCAGAGGATACAGTAATAACACTGGTCTATTAGGGGACTTCCAGAATGCAAATAAGATCATACATCAACTACCTTCAAATAGTGACTGAACCCTCGTGAGGGCCATTAGGAATCATGCTGGCAATAACAGTAATATATACATACATATATATACATATAATTATTAATTCTAGCTCCTTTAAATTTGAACATTTATAGCCGTGAGACACACAAAATAGCAGTGTTTTACATTGCTGAAGGTCAAGAAGACAAGTGTTCCATCTTAGCCAATGAAAGAGGAAGCCAAGCATATGAAGACTTTGTTGCTGGTCTTGGATGGGAGGTAATTAACTTCATTCATTGTGTGGTTGCTGACTATTAGTATGTAAAACAGACCTGAGTCGTGTATGTTCTTAGGTGCATTTTTACATTCAGATGTAGTATGCATAGAGTTCTTGAAGAATGTATTGACCTTAAAATTTAAAATCTGTTGGCTTATTTTCAGTAGTCTATCTATCTGTGGACTTATGCTTCTTCTTAATAGCTTTTCATTTGCTTTGCATCAGAACTGAATAGTCACATGGGCTGAGCTAGCCATGGGTGGCAGTTTATGGCAAAAGTAGACAAATGTGGCCACAACTAAAAAAGAGAACAAATCCAACAGCATGATGTAATAAGAGTTACACGAATGTGGGTGTCTCTTTCAAATGTATTCCACTGCACCTTAACCTCTTCACTTATTGAAAACACTTCACGGTGTCTCTTTATCTTAGGTCTATGTAGAGAGAACAAACACAGTACTATTTGTGGTTGCAGGTAACTGCTGAAAGTGTTACAAGCCCCCACAGATAAGAGGGATCTACTGTACAGACGCATGAAGACATGGACATACCCTAGACATGAGGGGGAGAAGTTAGGGAAATGTACAATGAAAGTCAAGGGGAGGGCTGAGGGGTTTTTGGTGGTTTGGGTTTTGTATCTATATATGCTCCAGCACATGCTGGGAACCAAAGCCAGGCTTTGCACGTGCCAGGCAAGCACTGTCCTGCTGGGACAGACACTCCTTAAATTTTCATAGTGGTTTTCATGTGAATAGGGTTGCAGACCAGTTTCATTTTTGCTGTTCTTCATTTCTTTCTTTAAATTTTTAATTTATATAAATTATATTTATTTGTATTCAGAAGGAAATATATTAAAATGAAAACAGTTTATGTTTTCAACTCATATTCCTGCCTAATGAATAGAACAGCTCCCGTCTGACCCTCGCCTTTTGCTCTGTGACCTTCATCAGGTGGATCTCTCAACCCACTGTGGGTTCATGGGTGGTCTTCAGCGCAACGGCAGCACAGGACAGACAGCCCCTTACTATGCTACCTCAACTGTGGAAGTCATTTTCCACGTTTCCACTCGGATGCCATCAGATTCAGATGATTCACTCACCAAAAAGGTAAGGCGGCTCCTTGGGGACAGCAGCTCCCTGCACTCATGTGCAGGCAAGGCTCTCTGGGTTTGGATGGTGACCAAGCCTGGGCACACACTGAGGCTGATTTCCCCAGGCCTCAAAGTCAGGGTCACTCTTCCTCCAGCCACAGTTGTGTTAGATCTAAAAGGTCAACTTAGCAACACCTTAAACCCTGAACTGAAGGAGAAATGTACCCCAAAAATCAAGGGGAGGGCTGAGGAGTTTTTTGGTGGTTTGGGTTTATGTCTGTATGTCTTCCAGCACATGCTGGGAACCAAAGCCAGGCCTTGCTTTTGCCAGGCAAGCACTGTCCTGCTGGAGCAGACAGTCCTTAAATTTTCGTAGTGGTTTTCATGTGAATAGGGTGGCAGACCAGTTTCATTTTTGCTGTTCTTCATTCCTTTCTTTAAATTTTTAATTTTGTATAAATTGTATTTATTTGAAATCAGAAAGAAATATATTCAGAAGAAGGGTTTGCTGTGTGGCTACTTTGGCTCTTCCTCCACATCAGTTACCTGAGAGAAAATAGTTTTACCTCAGACTGGCAAGTGCCACAGCATATAGTGGCCTTTATGACAAAAGTGCTGGGAAATCTCTGGGAAGGCATCCTCCCCACCCCCCAGTGTTGCTAGGGTAAGCTACTAGGTTTTGGCAAAGTGACCTGCAGGTGTGTTGCTGCCCAGATGTCCCACCTTAGCTGCTTCCCCTTTGTTCTTCATCACCTTTCACCCTATGGGTGGTTTCTGCTGAAGTTCAAAGGAAAACCTTATGCCCCCAGAGGAACTCCCCAGCCTGCAGAGTGTTTACTTGAGGGGCCCTATTTTTGTTGTTGTTGTTGTTGTTGTTGTTGAGGAACTCATTAATGGGATAAAACTGTAGTCTGGTAAGGAAACCACTCCTGTAGGTTTCTAGGTGAGAGGGGCATCCTAGAGCTATGGTGATGTGTGCTGACCCTGTGGGCTAGTAGGTGACAGAGCCTACGTTCCCACTACACACCCGCTCTCCTATAACAGTGCAAATGTAAGGAACTGAGGGCAGGGCCTCAAGTGCTGCCTGAGGCTGTGCACAGGCAGTGTGGCTCTATGGTTGGAACTATGGCCAGACAGATCTAGGCTCAAGTGTGCGTCTCACCACCAGCTTGTACCTCAGTTTTTCATGTATTAAATAAGACTGAAAATGGAGTCATGGCACCATACTGTTGAGTCAAGTGAGACGGTGCTTGAAAAACTTCTTAGTGTGATACCTAGTAGGCATTTTCTGGCCATCGCCCTTGTCATCGTCCAGTGGTGTAATTGGTTCTTTTTCCCTGCCCCATTAGCCACATGATTGATACTAGCTCATGGACCCTACTGTATCTGCTTCATTTCTCTTGTCTCTAGTTTTGCCGTTTTACCACTGTAGCCCCAGATGTCTGGGCTGCATACATGATGAACAAAGTGCATGGGAGACATGATCAGAACTCGGGTCACAGACAATTTCCATAGCGATCAAGTGTCTCACGTGCACAAAGCACAGTTTGCATTCAGGAACTCAGCAGCCTTTCACCCACATAGCCCTGCATACTACCCTGGCCTCCCTGGGCTGGGAACCTCACAGCTAGTGGGAGTACAAGCCATGTGCTGGTTCTCACAGGTGTGACAGAGCTGCCTGTCCATCTTGGGTTCTGATGACTGCAGTGTTCATAGAAAGGAGAACCCTGCTATCTGGTAATTCACTGAATCTGGAAGCTTCCAGAATCTGGGGTTGTTGGGCTACACTCACATATTTTGTTTTGTTTTTTAATTGTGGGTACCTTGTAAAGTCTTCATACTCTGCATATTGTCATATTGCATATTTTTGTGACTGACAATTATGTGTTAAAGATAGATTTGTATTTAAACTGTCTTGAAGTATTTCTTAAATATAGAGGCTTTTTAAAGTTTGTTTTTATCCTTTTTTTTTTTTTTGACATAATGCTGCTATAAATAATGTCCCGAGGCTTGTTTTGGACCCCAACTGTAATAATCAAACAGCAGCTGAAACCTTGCGCAGTGCTAAGATTTAGCATCATTAACGATAAACTCCCTTTACCAGGATGTCTCCTAGTTAGGCAGGGAAATTAGTCACATAATGGCAGCCCCCGGTTCCTTGACTTACTCTAACTAAATTGTCCCTAACAGCTTAGAAATGAGCTGCAAAATTCTAAAGTGATTCATGCTCTGTTCTGCCCTTGTCATGGGGGGACTTTTTCAATTCTGCAATCCCGTTGCAACCCCATACTGAACTCTTGATCCTTCACTGCAGAAATTTGTTAGCTCTAGCTAGATTAGATTTTTCACAGCTAATCTAACTGCTGTAGGGGTTTGCAGAGTGGGGACAGAGCTGTGCTATTGGATTTGTCCAATTCATTTGACTCCAGGACTATAATTGCACTTATGTCTTACAAGGCTTTTATAGCCTCAGGCTGGCCAGCCACATGAAAAACAAATTGGCAGTGATACAGTGCGAGTGAAAGGGGATGAAAGGCCCACATTATCAGTCTCTAAGCAGCTCTGTTCTGGCAGGAAGTTTCTTGGTTAATTTACAAATAAAACTTAGATTTTAGGATGGGCACACTGTCAGCTGAACAATGGGGATGTCAGGCCTGACTGTTACTTAGTAAAAGTAGCAGCCGGGCCCACTGAGGAGCCCAGATTCTTCAATCAAACAGACGACTCCTTCTGGAGCCAGCTGGCGATGTAATGCAATTAGTGGGGAAAGGAGGTCAGCCTATTAGGTGTGGACCATGACCGGTGTCACCAGTGGCGTGCAGGCGCGTAGCCTGGCAGCAGCAGGCAGAACAGCTCGGGCAGAGGAGCTTTAGAACTCTGTCAGGACCAAGGATGGCAGGACATGGGATTGATTTCTTGAGGCTCAAGAGCCTGTTTGTCCTGGGAAGAGAAGCCTTGAGGCCTTCTGGAGTCTTGCATTGTGGAAGCAGAAGCCCACATGAATGCAACTCCTATTCTAGCCCTCATCTCCTCCTGAAGACACATGCCTCCTGTCAAGTTGACTTGCCCCCATGCAAACTTGTGGGTGCATTTTTAAGGGCCTCTAATCATAGTTCTGTAAAACTCATAAAGTGACACTGGAATTGAAACCCCCTTTGAATTGAATATCACTTTATGTTTCTAGAATATTCCATTATGTTCTGATATACTCTAATGTGTGTAGTTTGTCTATACCAGTTTTACATACTTGGGTTCTTCTTATAGGCACAAGAGGTGTAATTTTTGTACTTTGTTCTAGATGTATCAGTCAATTGGTCCCGTGGCCTAAGCTCTTGGTTTTGTGGTTTAGTTAATTAAGCTGTAACATGTCCAGAAGTCTGAGGTTCCTGCCCCTGAAAGCAGCTCTGAGAATGGTGAATATTACAAAAATAGCTCTTCCTTAATTGCTGAATTGCCACATTGGAAGGAAGGGTCAATCAGTGTGGCACTGCTCTCCCATGCTAGAGTTTTCTCAAAATACTGCTGCAAATAAAATTAGGAAGGGTTTACTGGGGATATATAATTGAATAACACAGTTTAGAAAGGGGTAGAGTAACTGCAAAATTTTAATAATCAGTGTATCATTCAGAGTCTGTTCTGTCCTTGTGGATGAAAGGAGAGACTATAGGTTTTGGGTGTGGCACTGGGTGGTAGCAACAAGGTTGATATTTGGTAAATGGGTTGTCTCCATTCAGTCACTTCTGCCAACCTCATAACCAAGAGTATAGGGCCAGCTCTCTTTGTAAGATAAGGGCTGTAAGCTGAACTCCAGAATAACTCATTTCTTAACTGTTAGCTCCTATTGCCCAAAATTCCTCCCAAAGTTTCAGTTAGATCTACATTTCCCATGGAAACCTGCCCATCTTATCTTGTCAGCAACGCTAGCGCTCCTGCTGTCACTACAAAAGGACTAAGTGGCAGAACAGTGTCACAAGGTCTTTGGAAGCCCTGTAAGAAATGGGAAACGCAGACAGGCAGAAATCTGAGCTAAGAATGGTTGGAATGTAACTCAGAGAGTAGCAGTGCAGAGCACTGCATAACTAAGGCTCTAGGTTCAACCCCCAGTACTGCAGAAAGAACAAACGAAAAGGAAACGTGGGCTAGAGGGACACCTTCAGCCATGAGTGTTCAGTGTCTTGAAAAGAAAAGAGCAACAAAACTAATATGCTGGAGCTGGGTTGGCTGAGCTACGGTTTTTCCTTTTCTGCCTGCTACCCTGTGAGCCTTTAATGCTAGTGTCGGGGTAATGATGGAGTGAGGAGAAGAAGAAAAAAGATGCACTGGTTATGCTTTCATTTACAAGGTTGTTGACTCCATTCAGTTGTCCTGGATCATCATGACTTGTGCTGGGCCTCTGAAGTCTGGGCCTCCCCTTTCTGGAGCCACTGTTCAGACACAGTCGAATCCCATACCTTACCCCATATAGCACAAAGGTCTCTTTCTAAGTAATTAATGGATACAGTCACTTCCAGAAGGGCATGGGTGAAAAAGAAACAGGCACTGCAACAAGCAGCTGCCTTTGTAACTGGATGACTAGGAAAGAGGCCGTGCTGGGGTTACCGTGGGTGTTTCCCTGTATAATCAAATGGTCTCTAAAGAAAATGAGGTCCATGCTAACATGTTTCAAATATGCGCAGAATATGATTTTTTTATATTTCTAAAGGTAAGACTAGAACATATGCTCTAATATAACATCTCAGTTTTATTAAGGTACTTTTAAGTTTGGTCACTTATACTGTCCATCTGTTACATGAGCAAGAATTCTTGCTTCTGATGCTGGATAACATTCCCTGATGCAAGGCAGAAACCTCATTCCCCCAAGGCTTCTAAGTCCCTGGTTCTGCCAGTCTTTCCAGCCTCAGAACTTCAGTTTGGGCCAATGTTTTCACCACTGTGGTCTGTTTTCCCTTTAGTTATCTTCTAGGCCTTCTTGAATGATTTCTTTGCAGCTTTCTCCAGATTAGCTTTGTGGGGGTCGCCACACAGGCAGTTGATCAGTGATGTTCTTGTGTCTAGTAAGATTTCTTCTGGAAGAGCTTGTAAGGGTCTCTAGAGACCTTCCTATGGCCTTCTCAGAGACACCAAGAGTCTGGGTTTTTGGAGTTTATAGTCAGTCTCTTTATTTATAAAATGTCAAAATAAGTGAGCTAAACTACTTGAGCTATAACAGTAAAATAGCTTTTGATGTAAGCTGAGATCAGGAATGTCCAACTTGCAGTCCCAGATAGCTATGAATGCAGCCCAACCCAAAACTGTAAATTTACTTATAATAGTATAAGATTTGTTTGTGTGTGTGTATGTGTGATTTTATTTATTTATTATAATTCAATTGTATGGGCTTCCGTGTATTGTGTGTGTGTGTGTGTGTGTGTGTGTGTGTGTTCTCATAGTCTCTGGTCCTCTCTCCCATGATGTTCTGTGTACTTGACAGAGCATTCCTGAGCAGGTATTTCTTGTATAATAAAGATGGAGTTACATAAAATCAGTGGGAAGGGTAAATGGCATTTTATGTGAACATTTTGGAAATCTTTAAGTGCTGGGTGCTAGTATTCCCACCAAATTTAAGTTTTAATTTAAATTAAATCTATTTATCTCCTTAAAAATATAATTTCTTATATTCTTTTTCTCAAAAAAATTATCTCAAGACCAGCTCTCACACTTTTGTCAACTATTGTGTTGGAGTAGCTTGTCTTACCTTATGTTGTTATTTCTTAGTAGCCTGCTGGATTAAGCGGTTTAAAGATTTAAAGTAATAGCTAAATAAAAATATGAATGTCATTTAGTTGCTGAGAAACATTCTCAGCACTGTAGTGTAGGACTGATGTAGAAGTAGAATTCTGTGTAAAAGGAGACCTCAGAGAGGTCCCCTCCGTCCCACTGGAATGTGCCCTTGGGCTTCTGTGTGTGATCTTCGAACCAAATGTGCATCCTTGGCAGATGGGCTGGAGTTTCATGAAACTGTACGTTTTAGAATTCTCACTTAAGGCATCAGTGCAGTAGCCTGATTTAGGACTAAAATACTTTTGGCGTCCAAGTTTTCTAATTCAATTTGTAAGCCACAGCCCCTCATAAACTGTTGTTATCACCTCAGTTAATAAAGAGCCAATTTGCTATTGCAGCTCCGTCACCTGGGGAATGACGAGGTTCACATCGTCTGGTCTGAACACTCCAGAGACTACCGCAGGGGTATTATCCCAACAGCCTTTGGAGACGTTTCGATCATTATTTACCCAATGAAGAATCATATGTTCTTTATCACGATAACAAAGAAACCTGAGGTATGCTTTCTCCATTGTTGCCCTGACTCCTACATTTTCCACTGGATTCATGTCCTCAAAATAACTGATAAATGTCCTACGAGTGTCAGAACTGTGTATGCTAGATAGGAATTTCAGTGAACTGTGATTCTCAAAAGAACTCTAATCATAAACACAAAATTTCATGTTGTGTTATTTGAAAATTATGTTAGAAAAATGTATGGGATTTTGAATAATTTTAATGCTTTGAAATGTTATAATTTTAAGAATGTCATAATTTTTTAACTGTGGCACATTATTAATAATAAGTTATGAAGCTGCATTATTACATGGTTATTTGGGGTCTAGAGTCCAGCCCTGTCTGATGCATGGGCATTGGTCACTGAGCCCTGACTGGTGATGTGAGGTCAATCCTGAAGGATTTTGAACATGTCCACAAAGACACTGGGGCCCTGAAGCACAGCCAACATGATGAGTATTAGCAATCAAAGCACCTTGCTACAGAATCTATTCAGCCATGTCAATTGGTATTGATCACAGGGCTGGCTGGAACAATCCAATGGTCTATGTCCTGTGTACTAACCGGCTGTAGTTTCGATCCTTGTCATGCCTTTACTGGTATTTTAACACTGCTTTGTGTAGTGACTTATTTTACTTTTAATTCATTAGGAAGAGTATTCTTAGGTTTGAAATTAAACATATTAAGCATATAATCTACTCTTTAAGAAAAAAAATGGCTGTTCTTTTCAGCTTGATATTGAATATAATATTTATTTACACCCCAATATCATTTTCCTGAAGGAGCTCATCATTATTCTAAGAACTTTTTTTAAACTTAAAAAAAAAATGTCATGAGTATTGTTGTATTAATTCAGATTTGCAACCTAAAGTTATATTATGAACATTGGACGTGCTAACAAGTGAAAAAGAGCTGCAGACATTGCCTGGCATCAGGGTAAAGGCTGCTTCTCTGTTGGCCATGTGATTGTCAGGGCTGCCATCAGGTTTGCTTATATAGTTAGTGTCACAGAAATAAAATCAGTAGAGTTCTAAGTTTAACATATGTGTTAATTCTCCATTGTGTGGGCCTCATCGATCTAGGAAGGCCTAATGAAAGGGGGAGTTCTCTCTCTGTTCATAGAAAGAGGTTAGAATTCATATTAGATGTTTGCGTTTCTCTGAGTCAGACCCCTGTGAATGTCAGGTTTTCAGTTTTGTGCTGTAAGAAAAAATGGCTCAGAAAAAAAGAAAGAATAAAATATGAAGGTGACCAAGAAAAAAAAGAAAGAAAATGGCTCAGTGCTAGCATTTACATTTGCCCATGAAGAAAATTACTTATAAGAATTAAAGTTATAATTTTAATCTTAGAGAAGCAATAGATTTAGTCCTTTTTTTGCTTTTAAAAATTTGTCTTTTATATGTATGTAGTGTAGAACTAGTTTCATTAGTTCGTTTTCAGGATGGTCCTCTAAAATGTCATAATGCCCTTAAAATGCCCTTCATTCTCAAAGTGAATGAAGAGCATAGAAAGCATTTCATTTCACTGTGCTGTGTCAGAAAATGGCATTTCTCCAAGTAGCATAAAGTGCATAAAAAGTCATTAATATACTTTTTAAATTTTCCTACAAAATATGTGTAAGATAAACTCGGTCATCAATTCTGACAAGATGAATTGAAAAAATTAGTTTCTTAACATTTTAACTCAAAAAAGCCTAAAGAGGAGAAGAGAATAATAGGGTGACTGAAAACTTAGTATTATCCCTACATTTAAAGTACAAACCATTACAATGTAATAAAATTAATCCAGACATTTCCAGGGCAAGTGTAGCTGACCTTTTGTTCACCAACCACTGACCCCAGGGTGAATGCAAGAGGCTTTCGGAGGGAAAGTCTGTTTGTTTGGCTTCAATCCCTGGTATTTAAATTGCATTCCCTAATCAAATGAAAAGGCTGTCCTCTCTATCAGGTTACAGAATCCATGGCAACATTTGGCCTTTTATATCCATAATGTTAGCCTTTTTGTTTGCATCTAAGTAGAGACACCTGGAGCAATGCTAACATTAACCGATTTAGCATTAATAGCTTCATTATATAAGAATTTCTGATCAGATAGCTGTTACTTTTGTTATATTGCTTCAGCTTGTATTGTTGTCATTTTTTATCTCCTTGCTTGGCAACCAGGCAATGATTTGCAAATTTTTTTGTCTTGATTAATTAAGCAATATAATTATCAGTAACCGTGATGCAGTCTTTGCTCAACAAAGCTTCTGAGAGAAAACAATGGTAAGTCTGTTAGTATGAATGCATTCCACGCGTCCCAGATGCATGAGGATATTATGGACAATGAGGGGAAAGGCCGCCTGTGAGCGAGGACAAAGGGTGCCACGCAGACTCGACACACTGCACATACCGCCAGGGACATGCTGCGGGCTCCCTGGGACACAGACGCCTCGTTAGATTACAGCTAGTCAGCAGAGATTAATTCTCAGCCATTTGGCGCAATAATTTACCCATTCCCCAGTCTTTTAACTAGTGCTTCTTACTATGGAACTGAAGACTTTGTTCTCAAAGGTTTACTTAACCTTAGCTACTTTTAGGCATCTCCAACAAAATCATTATTTTTGTTTAGAGATTATACTAACACGACTGCTTGGGTTGAAGAATATTGCTGTAAGAAGACAGACTAATCAAATGTTTCAGAAATTATAGGTGGAGTCAGCAACAGTCTTTTAGCACCTGTGTATTTCATATGAATACAATGTGACTCTAGTTTAAATATATTTATTTTACTCATTTCTAGGCAGCCATACTTCTCTAAGAATAATTTTAATCCTTTTTTGGAGGGGGGAAACACTCATCTGTACACAAAAGTCCTGCTCATTGGATAGAGTCATGCATATTCAAATTGTACTTTCATTCACTTGGCCTCATTAATAGCCTATGTAATAATGTGGGGCTATTTGTAATACAAGCTCACAGGCAGCATTACTTCCAAGTCCTTTGAAATTTAACATATTTCTCTTTTTCATTCCATACACCCTCTTTAAATATACAAATTATGTGCCTGGCAGAATCCGCCCCCTCTTAATAATGCCCCGCATTTGTAAAATGGTACATTGAAAAAGCATGGGTGTGCTTTTTTGAGTGCACAAACCCTCATGGCTGAGAGGGTCTGCTCACTTTATGAACATCGTATTGAACCTCTGCTTTTTTTCTATTTTTTTTTTAAAAAAAAAACCTGTGTTTTACAGCATTATTTCATTGTTAAGTTGATTTCCAAATAAGTCCATTCTCATCTCTATAAATATTGACACAATAAAATTTTGATCATTGAAAAGAAATATGTAATTATCAGATTTACATTTTTTGCCTACTTTCATCACTCAGCCATTCAAGTTTCCGTGACTGTCCGTGGGTGCTGTTGAAGTGGTATCTGGTTCTCCTGTGGCTTCATGGGTGTGTGGGGTGGAGATGCGTGTATGTATGCATGCAGATGTATAGGAATGTACCCCTCTTCCAGATGATACCTAGCTCAGGACCTCTGTCTGGAGCCAGCAGAGGACTGATGTGCAGGAAGTCACAAGAGCATTTAAGCACTAAGGGTACGAGGAGTCCAGTTTGGGCATCTGTGTTTTTGCAAGGGAGTGTTTTAAGCTTGCTGGAGTTGCCCCATTATATAGGGAGTGTGTTTGCCTTTGCTGCATGGTTTTGAAATTTTCTCTTGATTTCATATTATAATTTCCTAAATATTTATCTTAATCTCAGCCAAATAATTCTTTGGAGATTCAATCATTTACTTTAAAATATTCTAGAAAATTCTCAAGGAAGTAAATTAACTTTTGGAAAATACTAAGATTATTTACTTTAAAAAGATCATTGAAAATACCAAAGAACTGGTTTTCTTAAACTAACTTATTAATGGATTGCTGCAGTGTGTTCAGTTTAGGCTATGTATTGTTAACATTGATTTTACTAAAGAAGTGGTGATGAGAAGTAGCAAAAAGACTCCTGCTTGTCGACGTTTTAAATTCACACTTTCTTACTAATACACTGCACTGCTAATTAGAGGAATTCCCTATGCAATATGGATTTATATTATCCCTTTTGTCCAGTTTGTAAAAGATTGAGTCACCCACAAGCAGGTGCCAAAGAATAGAGAACATTTATTTTACAAAAAGGCCTTGATGCAGACAGAAGAAACCCACAGCAGCACCATTATTAACTTACCTCCTACCTCACAGGAATTTGGCTTTTGAGATCCCCTTTTCTACTGCTTTTCCTTAGAAGTTGGCACCATTCTCCTCTTTCTTACTTAGCCCTTGACATATTTGTCTTCCCTTGTGGGTTTATCACCCTTCCTTGCTGAATGTACACCACATAACCAACTTCAGTCCAGGCTTTGTGCCAGGAAGCGAGCTCTCATTCTCTACTCCTGAGCTGCCACAGTGGGAATAGCACTTGACCCAGGAGACAGGACATCTCCAGGCCCCTCTCAGTGGCTTCATAAGGTCCTGCATGTGTGTACACCTGCTGGCTCTTTAGCCTGACAAGGGAAGGGGGGTGTTGGGACTGTGCTGGCCCCCACTGTGAAAGGGAATAGCCCACTGCCTGGGAAGTATATTTGCTAGACTAAATTAGAAATTTAATACTTTGTTTTTTGTTTTGTTTTGTTTTTCTTTCTTCTATGTTCTTCTTTAGTATAGGCATATGAGGAAGAAGAACAGTTAACTTTTTTATATTTTTTTGAGACAAGGTATCACAGAAATCCACCTGTCTCTTTGTGTGTGTGTGTGTGTGTCTGTCCTTGATACCGGGGCCTAGCAATGTGGAAACAGGCGGTAAATATGTGATGGAATGATTGAAAGAGGTTTTCAGTAGGAATGGGTATCACAGAGCAAAGGAAACAGAGTGAAAGAAGAGGTGGTACAGAGGCTGCTTTTTTAGTTTGTGCCAAAGGACACCAGGACATAAGCCAAAAACCAAACAGGAAGTCTTAGGGAAGGTATCAGGAGACAAACAAC